TGGAGTTTTTATGAAAATTTTTCAGTATAAATAATGCACTTAAGAAGTGGGGTAGAAGAATACAGCAGAAAGCGTACACCTGAGTGCAGGAAAACAGGAGGACTGTGCTGTATGGAGTGACACTGTTGGAATATTGTAGGCCTGTGCTGTCCAGTAAGTACAGTAACCATTAGACTTGTATGGAAACATGGTTCTTGCATCTGAGAAATAGCATTTTTTTAAACTTGAATTTTAAAACTGATACCCAATTTAGTGTTTGTTTTGAACCACTTTCTTATGAACAGCTTGCATTTGTGAACCTACTTTTCAGAAGTGTAAAATATAGAGCAGATTATGAAGGCTTAGTATGAAAAAAGAAAATACTTCAGTTTTTTATATTCATGTTTAAATGGTAAAACTAATTTTACCTGCTTTTACTTTTTTTATTGTGGCCATTAGAAAATAAACCTAGATATAGATTTCCCCCTGCTATCCAAAAGTAGTGCATTCCTGTGAAACCTCTCATGAAAGTGAAGTGGTATCAAGTGAACTTTAAGATAACAGGACAAACCTGTATCGAACTTGGATTTTATATCTTTTGGACAGCAGTACTAGGCACTGGGCTGCCAGTAAAAATAATGTCTCAAGTGACAGCAGTATGGATGGGCTTGGGTTTGATTATAGTGTGGTCTTTAGGTAAGTATTGTTTCATCGCCATTGTCCAAATAAGGCGACTTGCCCCAGATGGGGTGCGTAGTAATGGGGATAGCCAGGATTCTAACCTTGGCTCCAGTGCTTTTAGTAAGGAACGCTGAACCACTGCTCTATATTATGTGTACTGCCTGCTCTTTCCTCTTCCTCCTTTCTGATCAGTGGGACTTAACATACTACAATATGTGGAAAACAGGTTTTGGTAATTCAGCTGCTGCATTGGATCAAAGGTGGTGGCCTTCTAGGTTGAAATATTTGAGGATAGGCCATGTCTTATTTTTATTAGTGGTGCTTAGCACAGTTCCTAGCTAGCTAGCTGCTTTTTAAAGATTTATTTGTTTATTTTTGGGGTGGGGGGAGGGGGACAGGGAGACGGGAAAGAGAATCTTAAGCAGACTCCATACTCAGCACAGAGCCCAACACGGGACTGGATCTCATGACCCTGAGATCACAACCTGAGCCGAAACCAAGAGTTGCACACATAACCGACTGTGCCACCCAGGCACCCCTAGCTAGCTAGCTTACTTATTACTATACCAGTCTGCCCTGTCCGTGATTTTCCACCCTCGGTAAAGTTAGAAGTATGTCTCTTGGTTGTCAGCATATACCACAAAAGGTAAGGTGCAGTACTTAGGAATGTCTCTGTTCTTCCTTACTACATTAGTAATAGCTAAAGGGTTTTTTATTTTGTTTTGTTAGTTTTTTTTAAGATTTTATTTGATTGAGAGAGAGCAAGAGAGGGTACAGAGGGAGAGGGAGAAAGCGGACTCCCCGCTGAGGAGAGAGCCTGACGCAGGGCTCTATCCCAGGACCCTGAGATCATGACCTAAGCTGAAGGCAAACGCTTAACTGACTGAGCCACCCAGGTGCATCCCAATAGCTAAAGGTTTAAAATATACTTCTTGATGATCCATTTTGATCAGCTTATTTTATTTTTTAAAGATTTCACTTATTTGAGAGAGCACGAGCAGGGGGGAGGGGCAGAGGGAGAAGGAGAAGCAGACTCCCCATGGGCAGAAAGCCCCACATGGGATCAATTCCAGGACCCTGGGATAATGACCTGAGCTAAAGGCAGACACTTAAATGACTGAGCCACCCAGGTACCCTGGTCAGCCTGTTTTAATTGCTGCTTTTCCCTCTTCAGTAAGATCTCTCGTAGCCATGAGCATGCATTTTTCTCCAGTATTACTATAGAATAGGGGTCAAGAAATTACCACTCAGCATCTGTTTTTATATGGCTTCTGAGCCCAAAATGGTTTTTACACTGGGGGAGGAGATACATAGCAGAACCTTGGTCTCATTAAATCGAATAGCTGTGTAATGAAAGTGAGGATGTGTAGGGGTGCTTGCCCTTTGTTGTTGTCCTCCAAAAAAATGGAGAGACCATATTGCTGTAAGCTGCCTCAAGAGCTGAAAACGTGAAGATTCCGAACTGGTCCTTTTTGAGTTTCTAACATAGTAAAGATCAGGGCCTGTGGAGTCAAATTATACCACTGAGCAGATGAACACGTACTTCATTTTCCTAATGTATGGAAAGGGTTATGATAGTGTCTACCTCAGGATTGTGAGGGTTGAATGGTATGTATAGTTAAAGCATTTGGAACAATATCTGGAACTTAAATCCTCAGTAAGGTAAGCTGTTGTATCCAGTTTTGCAGATGAGACAGCTTTCCAAGGTTGCACAGCTGTTAATAGTGGAATGAGGACTGAAAATTGGGTTTCCTTTTAGCAGTACCTTGAATTTCTGCATAGTCACTTAAATTGTAACTAGATTGATTTAATGCATCCAGATTATAGTGTTCTATCTAGGCTAAAACTGCATTTCTTTGAGCGGTCGTCAAGTTTTTTCCTAAAATCGAGATACGCTTTGGCCATGTTAATTCCCTAATAGGTTGGTTGGTTGTCAATATTGTAAGTGAGTGCTGTTGTCTGGCACATCATTAATGAACCTTTTATTGGTTTCTACATATCTTTGTACCCACGGAACATCTTAAGCTGTCTTTTAGGGGATGCATTGTGTATTGCCTACCTTGTACTGTTTTAAAGAAGATTGTTCTAGGGATGCTTGGGTGACTCAGTCGGTTGGGCATCTGCCTTGGGCCTGGGTTGTGATCCCAGGGTCCTGGGATGGAGCCCCACATTGGGCTCCCTGCTGAGCAGGGAGCCTGCTTCTCCCTTTCCCCCTGCTTGTGTTCTCTCACTATCTCAAATAAAAATCTTTTAAAGAAAAAAGATTGTTCTAACTACTAGATAAATAGTTGGTAAATTTTCTAATTTCTTTTACAACCTTGAAGTAAAATTTATAGATAACTACTTGTATTTCTTTTTATTGTAGTGTATAGTGTATATGTACATAGCTATTTGCAATTATATTAGAAGACATGGATAGTGCTACCACAGAGACCAACTGATAAAAGAAATGATGTGTTGGCTACCCAGATACACAAGTGGCATTATCAATAAATGAAAATTTCTCTCCATGGAAGTTGCATTTTTTGTAAATTTAATGCATATTAAAACTGTAAAATAGCAGATTCAAAACTCAAGTTATAATAAATGTACTTACATGAAAGTCCACTAGGATACCAAATAATTCTTTACCTAGTCCTCCAGCAAGCCTGACATCCTTCACCCCAATTATGGCAAATAGTGCCCATCTTCGGAACAACTTTAAACGGCCTATGGTGGTCAGTACTGCCCCTGTTGAGAGTTCCTTTTCTAGACTTTACCCACCTTTCCTGCTCTACCAGATTTTTGTTGCACTTCTCCTTAGGGCCCCAGGGTTTGGAATTCAGTCCCAGTGTTGGAGATGAGAATTTAATAGTGATGGCTATGAACTTTGTGGGATGCCTGTGGACCTATTTGACAGATAGGCATTATGGCAACCATTAATTCCCTAGGTTTCCGAGTATTTAACTAGCTTTTAAAGGTCAGTTTTTAATCAGTTGCCTTGAGTAGCTTTTGCAGTATTCTGGGTGTTTGTAGATTTTTTTTTGAAGATTTAAAATTCTGTTCCCATAAATGAAAAGTCCTCATGTTACGATAATCCAAGCTATGTGGATTCTTTGGCGCATTTTTGTTGCTCCACAGTTGAGCAAGGAGCCAACAGTCAGTAAGCCAGTCCGTCTAGTTCATTGCAACCTTTGTTCCTTCTGTCATTAAACATTAGAACTCTTATTGAGCCCATTCTCTCTCTGACCTACTGGACAAAATGAAGAGGGTGGACGAGGTTGATAAAGGTCTGGAAAATGGTTTCTCCTCCTGTGGATTTTGCTTATATAGTATCATCATCTTAACCGTGATGTCCTAGCTAAAATAAGCTCATTCTCCCATTCCATTTTTACCTCAAGAAAGCGAACCCTCAAATAAATTCCCTCACACCTTAATTTAGCCCCTTATTTTAGGCTTCCATCAGTCCCGGTCTGGGCTTCTAGAGTAGTTACTAGAACTAACTGGGCTCCTCTTGTATTTGAAATTTCTCTTAATAGCCACCAAATTTTAACATCTGATGTTATGGCATATTTGTCTACTCAAAAGCCTTTGGTACCTCCTCTGCCTACGTGGTGATCGTTTAGCCCCTATTCTTTATCCTCCCCCACCCACAACCATATTCCTCATGCTTCAGCCAGTTTGGACTCTGCTTGCATTGAATTTGCTAGTTGCCGCTTTACCCAGGTTTATGACCTCCTTTCTGTCTACCTCTGGAACATTTTTCTCATTTTCCAGTAAACTTCTTTAAGACTTAAGGCAGATGTTTTCTCCTTTAACACTACTTTTGAAGTTGTAAAGCAGATATTTTCAACCATATTTCTTTAGCACAGTTTGACTAGATATTTAATGATTGCTGTAAAATGGTTTCTGATACGAAGTGAAGGGGTGTGTGTGCTAGTAGGAAACTGTCTCATTCATCTTCACCTCCTTAGTTCTCCAGTACAATGCTTGTTGCCACATGGATGGAGTAAGAGTGGTGTATGCTGGGAAGTTGTTAATGTTTGGTAGGATCATAAGGAGTGATAGTTGCTAGTCACTTAAACCTTCTTAATAGCCTTAATGGCTTAGTAGGTCACAGACTTTTTTTTAATCCTTCTGCAGGTAGTGAGGTTTACAACTGTTGGCAACTGCTTCCTCAAGAAAAATGAAACAAAAACTATGTTTCTGCTTTATATTTCCTGGTGGCTGGTTGGCAGTCAGAAAGTCTTTAACAATAGGAAAAATGGGGAAGTGCACAAAGAACCACACTTACTCTTAACCTTTGGCAACATGAAGTGTATTGCATTTACTGACTTGTTCAACTTGGTTCTGTCTTGCAGGAATGACACCAAGGAAGATGTATTTGTACACCAGGTGAGTGCTCGTGTGAATGTTTACAATCCTAGTTTTAAGGGATGTGAGAAGAAAGAAAGGGGTGGATGTTTTCTCAACTATTATTCCTTGCAAAAAGGTTATTATATCCAACCAACCAACAATTTAGCTCCCACAGGAGCAGTGGGAGCGTGCTTAAATGTATACATTGAAACATTATATTGGCGGTTTACTTAATTAAGATAGATGTTTCAAATGGGTATTTTGTTAATAGCTCTGGCTTTTTTAAATGTGGAAATGTGCTCAACTCATACCAAATTTTGAAACCCAATTTCAGAGGAAGAAAAAAATCTCCATTAACCTAAACTTGAACTAATTTTGCTATAAACACACAGAACCTTTGGTGGGGTGTTTTCAAACACTGTCAGATTTTTACCTCTCTGGTAAGGACAAATCACAATAATCGGGGAAAATAGGACTCAGCTGCAAAACATAAATTTGAAGTGAATGCTAGAACACCAGCAGAGTTAGCCTAGGTCCTTCTATTTATTCTAAAGCACTTTGGGAATTATTTTTGAGAATTTTGGTTGGCTTGGAAAATTTATAAATCCTCACTAGTTTAGGATTGAGTGAAAAGGCAGTGTGACAAAAGTTGGTAATTTACTCATTAAATAATTAGATAGGCTTCAGTGTTTTAAGAGGAAAAAACTAACATGGGATTAGGTGCCATATGCTGAACTTTCACAAGTGCATTTAAGAAAAATATTTTGGGAAGTGAGCATTAAGCATTACTTTTATTAAAGCAAGCCACTACAGTGTAAACACTAATATCTTAAACTTAAGTATCTCATGGGCTCCGTTGGACTTCATTATCCTCACAGGTGTGCATTGGATAGGAAGAACACAGTTGTGTATGTATAGTTGTGTGCACTGCAGTTTTTTCACCAAGACTGTTGTAATATTATCTTACATTGAAAATCACTCTAAGAACTTTTTAACCACTTTTTTGTACTTTTTATCCAGACATCAAAAGATAGAGTTTTCACACTCAACACTGTTATTCAGGCAGGTGTGAGCTTGGATGGCAGCATACTTTTCTTAGGAAGGGCTATCTGAGGTTGGTGCTTTGTCGCTTTCTGAGATGTCCTATACAGCATTCAGTGGCAATCAAGGGAGCCAGATCAATTTCTAGTATGTCCAAAACCTTATCAGAAAATCGCAGGGTCAAATATATAAGTATGGAAACATTTAAATTCTAAACATACGGGCACCTGGCTGGCTCAGTAGGAAGAGTGTGAGACTCTTGATCTCGGGGTCATGGGTTTAGCCCCATGGTGGGTGTATAGATTACTTTTTTTTAAAAATGAACTTTAAAAAATTAATCCTAAACATAAATATAGGACTGCTTAATGTTATTTTTAAAACAAATGTTTTATAAAATTGAATGCCAACTCCTTTGTGTTCCTTACTTCTGCATGTTCAAAGGAATATGCACATTTAGGAACAAGAGACAGCAAGGCAGGTCAGTCTTGTTATTTGTCAGCAGCACAAAAGGGTTTGGGGAGATTGGGGTGTTCTGAAGATGCTGACCAAAATATGTTCTTAGATTGTAATTATCCATACTTCTGCTATCCCCTATGACTGCAGGTAATTGAGAGTTGGCTATATATGGAAGGTATGAAAACTTTGTGACAGTTTAGATGACAGATGAGATCAATTATTTGGCTGAATGCATGTCACCCACTTGGTACTGACCCACAGGTGTCACCAATATGCTTTCCTCTTTATTTTGGAAGTGGTTCAACATTTAGTTGTTTCTTGGGACTTTGGATGCTCAGGTCTTAGTGTATCAAGGAGACTGCAGTTCTGGGCAACTTAGCTTAATTGGCTTCAGCTTTGTTGGTTGTCCTGCCTCCTATGGAATGGAAATGCATGAGTGATCCTGTAATGGATACTGCTGTGATGTAGTAGAATGAACACGGGATTTGGAGTCCCAAGACCTGGATTTAGAAAAGTCCATACTGTGCCACTTAAGCTGTGTGACCTTGGGCAAGTCACATAACTTTTAAAAGCCTGTTTATTTGTAAAAAAGGAGTAATAATACCTCACATCATTATCATAAAGAGATTGATTAGGTAATGCATGAAGGAACTTTATTGTATTACACCCAAACGTGAGGTGTTATTCTTCCCCTTTTACTTAGTTGTAGCAGTCTAGAGAACAAGTAACAATGTGAGATTTATTGTATTCTGAGGAGGTAATAACCGACTATCCCATGTGGTCAGATAATGTAAAGAGTGGCGCATAGTCAATACATGTGAATTGCATTTCCACTGAAGTATTATCACAGACCAGTTGGAAGGGATTTTGGTTGACATTTGTAATTGAGTTTGATATGGTTAACACAGGGACAAAGTTGGTTTGGTCAACTTTGAAGCATGCAAAACTAAACTCGCCTGTCATCTAAACTGGCCCTGTGTGGGGCTAGCTTCTACTATTAAGTGCAGTCTTTGGGGGATAGATGGATATCCTCATTTTGTTTAAAGATACATATGATGCTTTTGCAAAAGGCATTTTTAAAAAATACATATTGTTGTGTCTTGAGTGTTAAATTACTTGCTTTAGTTTGGAAAATGCTGGGGCCTTGTAAGATTAGAGCATTTTGGTTGAGGTTGGGGGTACATTGGTCCCTGTTTTCCTAAATTTATTGACGGTTTGGTCTTATTTAAAGCTAATTTTAAGTGTATATCCAAGCTAAAATAATATTGACTCTGGTACATTTTGAATGAAAAAGCACATTATTCTCCCCTGTTAATCTATTTTTGGAATGTGATATTACTAGACTGCCATAAAGAAGAATAACCCCAGGAAGTACCTTCGCAGTGTAGGAGATGGAGAGACTGTGGAGTTTGATGTTGTTGAAGGAGAAAAGGTGAGGATGCTTTTTGTGTAAAGGTTTGACTTCAGTATGGAAATATTTTGGAGATCTCATCCGTTAGGATGGTGGCTCTAATGTGGATGGATGGGTCAGGTGACCACATGAACACAGGTGCATCAAGCCTAATGTGCTGGCTGCAGTTAGAGGGCAATCTCTTCAGAACAGTGAGGAACTGATATTTAATCATTTCTATGCACCCCTGGCCACATAGACCCTTTTTTTATTTGTTTTGTGTAAATTTTATTAAGTGTACTTAATTCTGTTGTCACTGTCAATATATGATGGCTTTTGTAGGGTGCGGAGGCAGCAAATGTGACAGGCCCTGGTGGAGTTCCAGTGCAAGGCAGTAAATATGCAGCAGACCGTAACCATTATAGACGCTATCCACGTCGCAGGGGTCCTCCACGCAATTACCAGCAGAATTACCAGAATAGTGAGAGTGGGGAAAAGAACGAGGGATCGGAAAGTGCTCCCGAAGGCCAGGCCCAACAGCGCCGGCCCTACCGCAGGCGACGGTTCCCACCTTACTACATGCGGAGACCCTATGGGCGTCGACCACAGTATTCCAACCCTCCTGTGCAGGGAGAAGTGATGGAAGTAAGTTTTCACCAAAAAGTAAAAGAATGAACAGCATGCAATAACTTTAAATAGGACTGCATTTTAAGCATTTTCTGGGTGTCTTCCCCTATATTGGAGCAATTAATCTAATGGGAAGCATTTTTTGATTTCTGAAAGATTATAGTATAATTATAGTTACTAGATGATTGATTTATTTTTAACTCCTGTATGCAGACTTTGGATTTGTCTGATTGGGTTTTTACTGTTACTGATTGAGTCAGCTTGATTGTCTTTTCAGGGTGCTGACAACCAGGGTGCAGGAGAACAAGGTAGACCAGTGAGACAGAATATGTATCGGGGTTATAGACCACGATTCCGCAGGTATGGTTTGTATTAAATTTCTCAAGCATATGTTAGGACTCAGCAGCAGCATGCTTCTCCTGTAGCCTTTTGGAATCATTTTATTTGTTAACACTTAACATTTTCTTTTGTCAGATGCCAAAGAGGTGAACCCGAAGTCAGTTATCTTTGAGAGTGTGTTCTTTGCTGGCACTGGTTAAAAACAGCTTGTATAGATGAGGTCTACTTTATATACAGTTGTGGGTTCTCCCCCCGCCCCCCCCCCATGAGGTTATGGAATTTCAGTTTTTGTCTTGAACAGGTAAGAGAGTAGTTCAACCTGTGTTATATGTTTAAGACCTGCTTCATTGGGAGGGAGAAAGGTAAAGGTAAGCATTGCCTTTAAAGCATTAGGAGTATGTGAATTGCACCTTCATCATAAATGAAGAATCTATAGTGTCACCTCTGAGATGGCATAATTTTCCATTAATCACTTCTCAGTTTAGGTTTTTTTTGTCACCCTTAAGTTGCAGAATGAAATCACTCCAATAAAGTAGTAACTAGAGAAGAGTTCCATGAGCCAGACCTGTTTAGTATATAAACGTTTGGTATATTTGAGGCAATAGATACCCAGTCTGTCCCACAGTGGATGGATATAGTGGTGTTAACAGCTATTTCTTTTAAGGGTCTTTTTATTAAAGCATTGAGTCTCCAGATGTAATCCCTAAAACTAACGGGTTGTATACTTAAGGCAATACAGTAATAACTCTTAACTGATGATCACTTATGTAACAGCTTTAAATGTACAGACCCAAATAAGTTTTAAGAAATTCCTTACTGTAAAAGTATCCAAAATACAATATAGAAGTCTTTAAAATACATTGTGATTTTGTAAGCGAGGTTTCTGAACACACACACCCATGTTCAAAATACTTAAAGGAAGGTGGAGCAGTGAAGCTTTAGGAACTAGGAACCCAGCTGAGATTGCAGTATACATCGGTATATATGCATTGAGAGTTTTACAGTAGCCAGTGTCTATAATTTCTTTTCTCGTTTCCAGTGATGTGTGTTGTGTCCTGAGTTTTTATTTCATGAAAATGGCCTGGAGTTCCAGCTCTGGTTCATTAAAATTTCCACCAGGAGATTGTGTTAGCCATGTGCTGAATGTTGGAGATCCAGTGGGGTTTTCCCTGTTGAGTGGGGAAGATTATTTTTGATGCTGACAGATGAGCTTTGTTGATCCTGAACTGAACTATTGTTCAAACTAGTTTTAAACCTAGACAGAGACACCTTGTTGAAACATTGCAAATAATACAACAACATCATTTTTTACAGTGATCAGTGTTTTTAAAATTGGTCTAAAATAGGCTCTCATGGCAGTCTATACATTACATCCATTGGTTCCAACAGCAGAAAATTTGGTTTACCTTTGTGTTACACTATAAAGCTGCTTACATTTTTGGGTTAGCTTCATTGGTGTCTTTAAAAGCATGGGAATTTTTGTTGAGTGCTTCAGTTTTGTTGTTTGCCTTTTAAGTTAGACGGAATAGTCTCATTTGAATGGATAGGCAATTTGACAGTGCTAAATACAAAGTAAAAGGGAGGAGTGGTGTTACGAAAGTATTTTTGTTTGAGAAATTGGGCATATTCATAGGCTGAAAAATGGCAGCAGAAGACGGTAGAAAGTGACTGCTTAGAATTGTCTTCAGATAGGATAGGATTTTGTCCATAAGTGAGTGGTGGACCATTTGCTAAGAACTCTGGGTGTGTTGTATGTAAGAAGCCAAAGTATGTGGGCATTGGTGTGCTAGTGGAGTCAGAAGGAGAGGGAGAGGTAAGAGAAGAGGTGTGGGGAATTTGAGACAAAGATGTGAAATGATCTCTAGAAGAGAAGGGGGAAATGAAGTAATAGAATAATGGTTACAAGGTCCACCTAGCATGATTGTATTTTCCAGCCATTTTTGAGCAGCAGGCTCAGATTGAGCAGGGTTGAATTTGTCCAGCATTTGTTGATCCAAATGAAGATCCTGGGGTTGGGATTGGTCCTAATTAATGGTGGGCTTTATACTTGGGTAAGAAGGGAGAAAAATATTAACGGAGAATGGGAGATAGAGTCATAGGATCACTGGATTATAAGCCCTAATGGAAATAAAGAATGGGAGAACAGGAAGGAATTAAACTAGGAGAAAAGGAAAAGGAGTGTTTGGAGAGTGCAATGCTTAAAATGGGGAGAACCCAGATAGAAAACAACTGGATAGGAGGTAAAGAGTTTTAAATGCTCAGGTTATTTGGGGTTGTCAGGATAACTACAAACAGGAAAAGGATAGTAAATGGTATGTAAGATTTGAAAAGCTCAAGAGTTTTAAAAAGAAGGGGAAATGGACTTTGAAGCGACAGTGGGGTGAAGCAGCCACACTTGAAGGCTTCGGGGAAGAGCCAGAAGAGTTTTGCCAAAGACTGGCTATGAGGTCCCAAAACTAGGAACAGGGTTTCAGGAAAAGGGGAGGGGAATTAGTTGGAGCCCATGATGACCAATAGGTATAAAAGGCATGCTGCTGATCTTGATGTTTCTGGGGTGCTGTGATCGAAGAAAGGCCAAGAAAACCTCTGCTTTCTGACATAGTTCCCAGCAAACGCAATTCTAATCTTCCCTTGGTGATAGAAATCTTGATACTTTCTTTGGTCCTGAAATCTTTAATTTCAGGCCGTTGAACATAATATTGCTAGAATGTAAATTTGAAGTTTTTTCTAAGTGTACAACTCTGGATTTTGTATTCACGCAGTTATGCAACCATTACCACTATCGGATGTTTTCACTCCTTCCCCCGCCCTGAGCCAGAAAAATACCCTTGTGTCCATTAACAGTTACTCATTTCCCTGTACCCCAGCCCCTGGCTACTACCAGTCTGCCTTTTCTGGATAAATCAGGGTCCACTGCATGGATGTCCTGTTTTGTTTCTTCCTTAGTAAGCTAATGGGCACTTGGATTGTACATCTTTGTTACTGGTAATCATGAAATGGATACTTTCTTGGGTGTATAGACCTCTGAGTGGAACTGCTGGGTCGCATAGTGACTCTTTAATATTTTGAGGAATTGCCGGGCTATTTTCCAAAGCTGCTGCACTGTTATCTTCCCACCAGCAACGTATGAGGGTTCCAGTGTCTCCACATCCTCACCAACACTGGTGGTTTTCTGATCTTTTGATTATGGCCATCTTGGTGTGGGTATGAAGTGGTCTCTGTTTTGAATTGCATTTCCTTAATGACCATTGGTTGCTGTGTGTTTTGATTTATATAGAGAGAGCATCTTTTGTTTTTTGATATCCTGCCTTTTTAGCAAGTGCTCATCTATCTGTAAAGGATTAGTAGCACTTGTTCCCAAACCTGGTTACCATGGAGCCCATTTAAAATGACTGATCAAAGTGTCTGGTGGTGTGCGACTTCTAGTAGTTTCAGGATTAATTTTGTAATCGTTCTACTGTGAGTAAAAGTTGGCTAGTTCATTAAAACCAGTTTTAAATGCCCATCTTCTAATTGACACTTTCAAATCCTTGCACAGTCATCCCATTCGGTTTGTGAAATAGGAACCAAGGTTTGGAAAACAGGCCAGATACGGTGTTTAGTTGACTGACCCAAGTGAGAGCGTTGGTGGGTGGATTAAAGAATGAAGGTTTTATTTGTCGTTTCAACTTTGCACAATGTTCATTCCAGGGGTCCTCCTCGCCAAAGACAGCCTAGAGAGGATGGCAATGAGGAAGATAAGGAAAATCAAGGAGATGAGACCCAAGGTCAGCAGCCACCTCAACGTCGGTACCGCCGCAACTTCAATTACCGACGCAGACGCCCAGAAAACCCTAAACCACAAGATGGCAAAGAGACAAAAGCAGCCGATCCACCAGCTGAAAATTCGTCCGCTCCCGAGGCTGAGCAGGGCGGGGCTGAGTAAATGCCGGCTTACCATCTCTACCATCATCCGG